ATGGGAGACGAATGACGAGACACTGGCCGAGCTCAGGTCAGAGGGGGCCAGACTGACTCGGGTCCTGTGGAGCCGCCCTGGCACTGTCCCTTGAAGACCACTGCGGGGAGGAGTCATCGAGGGACAGGAGAGAGAGACTCAGTCCCCACTGACCCCGGGCATGGGGCGGGAGCACCACCTCCAGCCTGCCCACCCTCCTGCCTGTGACTCTGCGGGGACCCTGTCCCCCAGCCTCTCTCCTTCCCAGAGCAAAGGGGGCGGGAACCCGGCTGAGAGTGGAGCTCTGGCCGCTCACCTTGGCCTCCTCAGCGTCTGTCGCATAGTAGGCGCTCTGGTCCAGGACCCATCCAAGCAGCCTGATGACAGACAGGCTGGCCTGAGAGCAGAGTCAGTTGGCCCAGTTGGTGGAAACACTGCATTCTGACCAGGAGGTGACGAGTCTTCCCAGGGAGGGTCGCACTTAACCTGAAAGTTGAAAGCTGTCAAGAGCGCCAGGAGCATGTGGCTGAGAGGGGAGCCCTGGCAGGAGAGAACGTGCATGTTGTTACTGAAGACAGTTCTGAGGGCCCGACACACACACACACGCACACACACGGAGGATGGGGAGAGGGTTTCAAAGGCCACAGGTTGTAAATCCTCCGTGTTCTGGACAGTGTCTGTCCCAGAGTGGGAGCTCAGTGAGCATCAGGGGAATGAGTGCATCTCAAGGACGGGGCAGGGAGTTGGGGCTGGGAGGCCTTGGCTGGAGCCCTCGCTCTGAATCTTAGTAACTGCCCCTCTGGACACGGGGCTTCTCCTCAGCCCCTCCTCGGGGAAGCATGTATCAAACAGAGAGGGTCTGACTCTCCGCCTCGTGGAGTGGCAGTGGGGATTACAGAAAATAATATGTGTGAAAAGCCCTCTCTAGACTGCAAACATAAATCGAGTCTTCATTATTATGGATCATTTGACATGTGAAATTTTAACCTAAGTTTTGTAGACTCTAAAAACATAACTCCCACCTGCTGGTTTGGTTTTAAACCAGAAGGGATTTTGCAAATCTTGTTTCATACACCTCGTCTCCCTTTTGCAAGTATGCAGAGGTGGTCCTAACACAGACCTGTCGCGCCTCCCCTTGGGATTCAGACCAGCAGTGCAGGCTTTGAGAGCAGTTATTTCAAATGTGCTTTGAGCAGCTGCCAGATGGACCCTTCCAATTTCTTTTGTATCTGCTCTCTAGTCCCCTCCTCTTCGCCTTCAGTTAAAAAATTCAAAATCACTGTACTGTGTTCAGAATCTGTCACTTGAGTGTTACTTGGAGGAGAAAGATTTGAAATAGAAAACAGTGCCAGTTATCTGTACTAACAGGGTAAAAATATTAGTTAAAGGAAAAAATGCAAACGAATGACTTTACTTTTAACCATGAAGCCATGCTTAGCAATGTGGGCAGGGCTCTTTGTGTTATTTCAAAATGAGGATTTTTTTCAGAAAAGAGCCGTAAGAGTAGAAACTAAGTAGAAACTGGACAAGGACTAAAATTCAGTCTGGTTTATTCCAAATCTACACAGTGAGATCCTAGAAATGGTGCTTCCATCCTCTGAATGTCAGAAGCCCCTCCGTGAACCAGTCTTACCAAGCAATTTGGTCTTTCCTCCTTTTTGCCATGCTCAGAAATACAGCATCAATGTGTGTAATAGATGGGAACTTTTCCTTTGCATTTTGTAGATCCGCTGTCCGAGGAGGTCAGAGTGTGTACGTATTGTCTCATTCATCCCAACGGCAACCCCAAGAAGTATAGGAGGAGCAGAGGGTGTCCCAGTTACCCAGATTGGAAAACTGAGTCAGTGGTGAAATGCCTTCATGACGTTAACAAACTCAGCTTAGATATCTCTGTTTCTCTTGTTAACTTGTAGAGACAGAGCGCTAAGTGGACCAATGAGTTCGAGCTACCGCTGTATCCTAAAGGTGGTCTCTCCAGGTCAACAGCAATTTAGAAATTAAGGGGTGATGGCTTATTTACTTGATGGTCACTACAGATGTGTTAGGATCACATTACATGACAAAGTTCACAGCTGTCCGATTCAGTAAATATATCAGACATTTTGGATTTTCCTAGGGAAAAAAACAAACAGCAAAAACTTTCCTATGGAATTCTATCCATGTCATAAGGATATTTCAAAAGTGTGTATTATGAACACAGATTTTTACAAGCCTTTACTTTGAGAGCTACCTGCGACTGTCCTGTTCGGTTACACTGAACAGCCCCAGAGTGATGACTGCCTACCCGCTAGGAAGGAGGATGGTGAGTTACAGTGGAGATGGTTACATCCGCCACGCAGATGGATTCAGGGCCAGTTCATGTGCTTACAGATTAATTCATTTGAACGTAGTTTCTTTGTTCCCGATGGCTTAAAATCTTGATTCTGCTGTGTCCCCTCTTTGGCAGAATGAGGTAGAGAGCTGTGCAGTGATTAGACAGGAACCCCGAAACCAAAGACTCTTAAAAGCTGAAGAGAAATCAGACTTTGAAGAACTGTGGCGTCCAAGCATGCTGTAAGTGCAGTGAGCGGCAGGTGTCTCCTGGGCGTCTCCACTAGACGTCCACAAACACTCCAGACTTAACACGCCCCAGCCGGACGCGCTACCTCCCCACCGCCCCGCCCCACAGCGGTCCTCCCTCCTGTCCTCCCCCTCCCCACCCTAGTGGTCCTCCCTCCTGTCCTCCCCCCGCCATGCCCCACAGTGGTCCTCCCTCCTGTCCTCCCTCCGCCCCGCCCCACAGCAGTCCTCCCTCCTGTCCTCCCCCCACCCCGCCCCACAGCTGTCCTCCCTCCTGTCCTTCCTCATGTTGGTTGGCCCCCACCTCCCACCTAGGCTCTCAGCTGAAAAATCTTCCTACCCTCGCTTCTCCCCCAGACCCAGACAGCCACCAAATTCTGTCTCCGTTTGCCTTTAGAAGTCCCTCCTGCATCTGACCCTTCTTTTCTCTCCTTGGAGACACTGTCTTAGTTGGAACCTTCATTATCTCGTCCCTGGACCATGGCAGCTGCCTCCTAACTGGACTCCATCCTCTCCCCACTCCAGTGTGTCTTCTCTGTTTTTGCCAGCAGTTATCATCTTGAAAGAGTAAATTTGGGGAGGCTCCCCTGCTTGTAGCCCCATCCCTGCTGCTGCAGGGTAGCACCCAGACCACAGAGCAGGGCAGAGACATTTTCCTCTGGCCCCTATCTCTGCCCCCTCCCCAACTCCCACTCATGTCCCCTGTGCTCCTGCCCCCCCCCCACTTTCCCACCGTCTGTGGGCTCTCTGTGCCGCCCTGCGGTACCCCTTCCCGTGTCCCAGATGCCCTCTCTCTTTCCTCAACCTCTAACTCTCTGAGACCCAGCTCACTTGTCACCTCCTCATTGAAGCCTCTCCCGGCATCCCAGGGTCAGTTAGCTGTTTCTTGCTCTTTATTCCTGGAGACTTTTACTCATACCTCTGTTGTAGCTCTTAGTTTGTATTCTAATAAGCTGGTCACATAATTGGCTGTCTAGTGACACTGTGAGTTCTCCGAGGACAGAGATAATGACCTCATCTTTGTGTCCGCTTCCTTCCCACTGCCCCCCGGCACATGGTAGGCTCTCAATACATGTTTGTTGAATGAAAAATATAGTTGGAAAAATCCGAAAGGATCAAGCCTCTGTCACTGCAGGGAGCCTAATTAAGGGTGGTCTTTAACATTTCTTCAGTGTTAAAGTGTATCTGTTCTCATCTCTCTCCCCCAAACTGTAACCATTCAGTGGGATTCCTTAATGAGGAGGTTCTGTCCCCAGTATTGCCTTTGAATAGTTTCAAAGCCGGCCCCTCTTGTCCTGATGCCCACCCACCACCCTCCAACTCCGAGAAAATCAAGAAGCAGGGAATGAATGACTTTCTGAAAAGAATCAAGATTGTTCTCCTTTTGCAAAAGAATTCTGTGTGCCTACCAGGTCATTAAATATTTATTGAGTGCCTACCATGTTGCAAGGCATATGATATCTGTAGTGGTTTTCTGCTCTGAATGATCTAATCAAGTGTGAAATGATCTACCCCAGCAGTTTTCATGTGAAGTGTTTCTCATTAAAGCTCTTAGAGATCACGATACTTTGTAGCCGTTAAGTAAAGATAACATCTTCTCCTTGGGAAATGTGTGAAATGTCTTCCTGATGTTTTTGTTACAGTAAATAAAGTCATGATGAAAAGTTCATTCAATACCAGTCTAAGCCTAGGATGTTTATTCCAAAACGAATGGTACATTTTATCATCAGTTTTCACAGAGACAGTCCCCCTGCAGCCAAGTGCACTGTGGTCCCCGAGGGTTCCCCTAAAGTATGGTGCCTGGCCTGTAGCTCACACCTGGGGCTCTGCCCCCTACCCCCAGCTCAGGTTTCTCTTTTATTTTGTGTTACTGTTTATGTTTCTGCGTAGATCATGGGAATCCTTCAGATAGCTATCCTAAGAGCCTTTTTGTTTGTTTTATAAACAGTTTCACCTTGGGCTTGCTTTTCTGTCTCTCTTGTTGGTTCAATTTTAAATACTACTGGTTGTGATCATTTGGGATTATTTCACACAGCTGTTAGGCTTACTTGTGTTCCCGAGGGCCTTTATGACTTAACGAAATGATGTTAATATGAAGGTGATATTAGTATTCAGAGTCCTGATGGAAAAGATAGCGAGAAGCTATTTTCACACACTTAAGGCTCTGTTGTTGTTCATAGTAATGCATTTGTTTACTCGCAGAATTAAATCCTCCAGACTCAGTTTATTATACTTTCTACCTCTATCTCTTTTTTTTTTTAAGTCCCCCTATTTAAAAAAAAAAATCACTCAGAGACCATGTATAAGATATATTCAAGTCCTTTAGTGATTTAAGTGAAACTCAATTTTAACAGTAAAGCAAATGAATTATTTTTCTATCTACTTTTTACAGGAAGCTATTGAATCCTTCAAAGAAGCTTTGAAGCAGAAAGTTGATTTTATTGATGCATATAAAAGTCTAGGGCAGGCCTATAGGTAAGTAAAGTAATAATTGGGGTAGGAAGGAGGGTGTGGAGTGGGGAGACAAGTAGTGATTTTTTTTAAAACATGCATTTTTAAAAATTGAAGTATAGTCAGTTACACTGTCAATTTCTGGTGTAAGGGGACAGGGTGTATAGCTCAGTGGTAGAGTTTATGCTTAGCAGGCACCAGGTCCTGGGTTCAATCCCCAGTACCTCCTCTAAAAATAAATAAACAGATAAACCTAATTACCTCCCCCCCCCAAAAAAAAGTTATAAAAAAATTTTTAAATGCACTTCTTAACCAAAAGAGATGGTCATTCTCAATCACGTAGGCATTTCCATACTTGTTAAGATCTTCCCTGGAGTACAGAAAGAGCCTGGGTAGGAGGTAGCGTGATGTGTATTATGACGTCTTATCTTAAAACAACTTGGGCTCGTAGATGTTGGTCTGGAAAACATTAGTCCTTCAAGGGTTGTTGCTCTGAGTAGTTGCATTATAAGCTGCTGAGTTCTAGATGCTGCTGCTGTTTTAGGCAGTAACTAAGGTTGATGCCCACATCACTATGCTCTGTTTGGAGACTCCTAGAGCAGCGGGATGGAAGACGTTACAGTGATGGTGCATCTCTGTAGGGGGTGAGCAGCTGTGCCGAGACCCTGGCCTCCCAGGTACATGCACTGCCCTGGCCAGCAAAACTATTCTGACTTTTGGCTTAAATTTTTTACTTTTTTAACATTCTGACTTATATAAAGGTACTATAAAAAAGGAAAGACAGGAACAGAAATCCCCTTTAAAACTCTGTTAGGTGCCTGATTTGGGGAGGATTAAATTCAAGAGCTCATTTATGCCAAGTTGGAGAAGCTCTCCTTGTCTTGTGTTGTTCGTTTTATGAGAGGGAGGTTATTAGGTTTCTTCACTGATTTCCTCTGGGAGGAGGTACTGGGGATTGAACCCCTGACCTCTTGTGTGCTGAGCATGCGCTCTACCACTTGAGCTACGCCCTGCCCCCCGGAGAATCTCTCCTGTACTAACTTGGAGAAAGTGCGCCTGGGTTTGTTTTGGGTTGAAGGGTTGCTATTGATCCTTCCTGTCCTGCAGAATTGTTGGGAATATAAATTGAAAACAGATTTGAAAGCACCTAGCAAATAGTAAAGTGCTGTATAAATGTTACTGTTAAATATACTTTTTAAATATTCATTATTCGTAGAAAGTTGCCATATGGGATATTTTGAAGGTTCTTGTATCATTTATAAGAATTTTAATATATGAAAAAAGGCTGGTCAGTAATAACCATTTCCACTCTGAAAGAATCAGTTCTAAAACGTTATTTCTTTTTTTCAGAATTGTAAATTAGATAATAATTTACCAGATTTTAAGTAACTTCAGTGGCAGAAAAAAAAATTAAACCTATAAATTTGATTCACAATGATATACCTCTGTGTGATTCTAACCTACATAGTATTTTTTGCAAAGGAGAAACATACGTGTCTATCTAAATATCTAAAACTCACACAAAGTTTTTTTAGGGATTGGAGCTCATCATGAACTGGGGAAAGGAATTTGAGTAAGCATTTGTCTTTGGCAATCAATCAATTAATTTCCCCCCAAAGAATTTCAAGAGCTCTATGCTTAGCCTGTAACCTGCTAAGATTTAGAAGAGCTGAGTAGACTATGATGAGTCAAAGGCTGGGTAGCTATAAAGTGGGAAATTCAAAGAGCAAACACCCACCTCAAAGGATCTTATTTGCAGATGGGACCGTAACTCTGAGGCTAACTTACTCTGTGTGTTTACTGAAATGTCTCTACTCTGCTCATCGCTGTTGTTACATACCTAGAGAACTGGGCAACTTTGAAGCAGCCACTGAGAGCTTTCAGAAGGCTCTGCTGCTCAACCAGAATCACGTGCAGACCCTCCAGCTCCGCGGAATGATGCTTTATCACCATGGCAGCTTGCAGGAGGCCCTGAAGAACTTCAAGGTGAGCATCCGGAAGTGAGCAGCACTCACCTGGGATGGTGCGTCATTCTTCAACAAGGCTTAGTGAAATGCGTGTGTGTGTGTGTGTGTGTGTGTGGCGGGGGGCGGGGGGTGGTGCAGGCAGGAACAGGGCTTATACTTCCACAAAAGAAAAGAGGAAAAACCACTGCCTTGCCCGATAGACTAATTTACAGGGGATGTATTTGGTCTGATCTAACCCAGAGGGAAAGCATTCCTGATTCCAGATGAAAGAGTAAAGCACTTTGAAGTTTCCTTAAGTGGTACTGATACGCATTTTCTCCTTCAACACCTCAGCGCTGTCTGCAGCTGGAGCCGTACAACGAGGTATGCCAGTACATGAAAGGACTCAGCCACGTGGCCATGGGACAATTTTACGAAGGGATAAAAGCACAGACGAAAGTTATGCTCAACGATCCTCTCCCAGGCCAGAAGGCCAGCCCAGAGTACCTGAAAGTGAAGTATCTCCGAGGTAAGTCAGACACTTGCAGAATGGCTGGATTTGAATGCGTGAAGCTGTAGCAGTCAAGCTGCTTGTCTCTCTGGTGTCTTGTCTCCTATAGGAGGCAGCTGAGTGTCCGCGAAGCTGGGTGCCTAGTCCAGGGCCGCCCCTTGGTTACCGCTGGGATCTGGACTAGAGAGAGCCCGTGTCTGCTAAAGACCAGTCCAGTGCTTTTTTTCTCTGCCTGCCTTCCTTCCTTTTCCTTCCTTCCTTTTTCTTTCTATCTTTCTTTTGCCTCTTCCTCACATTTTTTTTCTTTCTGAAGTTAAAATTTTTTACTTAAGTGAGAAAAACATATTTTGAACTAAATGTGACAATCATCTAAGTATTCATGTCTTGTCATGTAGCATCCAGAGATACAGGAAAGTAACTTTTAATGAGATTTTTACTGTTAAATATAAACTTGGTATCTTTGATCTGTCATTCCTTCATATCAGAATCCCCACCTATTTTGGAGAATTTAAATTGGGATGAAGAAGAAAGCATACCCTTGAGTTATCCTTTTATCAGTCTGTCTTTCTTACTTTGTCTCTGCCATACAGAAAGATATTTTTGTTTTTTGTCTAAAGCCCAAATCTTTCCTTTCATTTCTTCTCTTTCCTGTGTTATCTTTAGCCCACTATATCAGTACTGTCCAAGTGAAAAAAATCGCAAGCCAAGTATAATTTTAAATTTCTAGTCGCCACATTAAAGAAGTGAAAACAAATGGGTGGAATTCATTTTAATAACATTTAATTTTATTTAACTCAATACCTCCATAATATTAGTTCAATGTATAGTTAATATGAAAACACTACTTATTGGCTATTTTACATTTTTTGCACTAGTCTTTGAATATGGTGTATGTTTTACACTTAAATTTCATCTCAATTTGGATGCAAAATTTTCATTGGAAATACTTGATCTGAATTTGGACTTCATAAACTTTGAAGTTGAAAAAGTAGGTAGATATATGCAAGCTGTTCCCAAACAATGCAGTTTTCTAATAATTGAGTAAAATATCAGCTTTAAGTTGAAATGAATTCCAATCAAGTAAAACTTAAAGTTCAGTTTCTCAGCCACATTAGCCACGTCTTAAGTTCTCAGTAGGCAGCTGGCCAGGGGCGGCCTTTTGGACAGCACAGCTCTTTACACTGCAATTCCCTCTTTTTTCCTGGTTTAGGAGAACTTGGACTTGTGAACTGTAGCCTGAAGATGGGGGCACCAATGTCCTGTTTTTTTTTTTTTTCCTACACCACCTCCCTAGGGGTGAGCAGCAGTTGGTCAGCCAGTTGATGAAGTCACGTACACAGTCAGTTGATCAGTTGGTTCACAAGAAACTGGACTCTGTCTGACACTGAACTTGTGTTCCCAGACTCTGGGGTTGAAAAGTGAGACCCTTGGTGTTGCTCGTGGAAAGGTGGTTACAATTTAGCCAAAGAGGACCCAGATTAACCGGCTTGTCTTTGACTCTGGTGACCACCTCCATGATTCCATAGTAATAGTGACTTAGTGACACCTGGGGTGTCCACGTAGAATTCTTGTCATTAGCCAGCAGTTTGTCCTGAAGTGTTTGGACTGTGTACCAGTGGGCTGTAAAAGCTACAGTCCGCTGTAAACGCCGTCTCTTTAGCGCGTTGGGGTGTGTCAGATGTCCTTTCCCGTCTGCAGAGTATTCTCGCTACCTTCACGCACACCTGGATACTCCCCTTACGGAGTACAACATCGACGTGGACCTGCCTGGAAGCTTTAAAGACCACTGGGCTAAGAACCTGCCCTTCCTCATAGAAGACTACGAGGAGCAGCCCGGGCTGCAGCCGCACATCAAGTGAGTGCTCTCGGTGGAGATTTTTTTTTTCCTTTTCCAAGACCGTAGGTTCATCGTAATATCTCGCGATCGATGAATTTATTTTCCGATTTGATTTGTCTGCACATATTCCTTTTAGTTTATCCAGTACCTCAAAACTTACCATTGAATGTCATCTTTCTCTCTAGCCCGACATTCCTGGCTAACGTGGGGGCACCTTTGAACTGCAGATGTGCCGATGCTTCTTGGTAGCCTTTGACAGGCATCATTCTTTTACCCTGTTACTTTGAAACGAATTTTTAACATATTAAGCGTTTGAAATTACAGTGCTGCCCCTCTCCTACCGCAGCAGGGCAAAACGGCGATGCTAAGAGGCTATCCCGTTCCAAGACAGGTAGGTTTAGAATAGAAATTAACTCCTAGGAGCCTTGCAGTGCCTAGGAATTAGGAAAAACCCACACAAGTGTGCCCCCCCCCACTCCCAAAAATAAAGAAAGGAGGAGGTGTTCAAACTAGAGTGATGGATGGTGAGCGTGTTTTAAAGGAAGACGGTGTCCTGGGGGAGGGCACGTCACAGCTACTGCTATGGAATGCCTTGAGGTGTGGGCAGGACGGGTTCGCTGGCCTTCAGAGGGCTAAAGCGACCCATGCTGGAGGCACCCCCAGGATCTCAACAGAAGCAAATGCAGATCCTCCCTGGGAAGAAATTTCGTGTCAGTTTGCATCCCAAGTGTTCTCACAGATTAAGATCATTAGTGTGAGCACCAGAACCGAGGAGACAGCAAACAGAGCTGACCCTCTGGGGTTTCCGGTGCTGGCCCCGTTGAACACGACGCCCAGACAGCTGCAGGGGAAATGTTTGGAGACATAACGTGAGTAATAAGAACCATGAGATTATTTTTTTAAAAATGACCAGACAGATTAAAAAAAGAATTGGAAGCTTGCAAAACTGAAATACAGTCTTTGAAATGAAGAACTCAGTCTACAGGCTAAAAAGCAGACAAGGTGTAGCTGAGAGAAAACTGCAAAATTGGAAAATAGAGCATTAGAAATTATCCAGAGTGTAGCAGAGTCACGGAGTTAGAAACCATGAAAGGGAGACGATGCAAAGAGCTAGCACGTGTCAAACTGAAACCCTAGAAGGAGAGAATGGAGGAGGGGCAATGTTTGAAGAAATAATGGCTTAGAATTTTCCAGAACTCAAAAAACACATAAATCCAGAGATTTTTCTCAAAAGTGGGGTAAATGAAAAAAAAATCCATCCAGACACATCATAAGTAACTGTGGAGAACACCTGAGGTCAAGAGAAAAATCTTAAAAATAGAAATGTCATGTCTCCTACTGAGGGTCAATTATTGGACTAACTGTAAACTTTCCAACATCAACAATTTCTACAAATTAAAAAGTAAAAGTCAATAGCTGATTAGAAAAGGGAACGAAAGACACGAGCAGGTAGTTTCAGCCCGCAGAAAGCAAGAATGGCAAATAAATGTATGGAAAGATGCTTCAGTTCATAAATATCTAAGGTCACATGAGATGTTTCACCCATGAGGGAAGCAAACATGACAGAGTCTGACTAGCAGTAATATTGACCAGAAGAGGGGTCAAGGGGGAATTTTATATGTTCCCCGTGAGAGTATGTATTGCTTTGGCTAGCAGTTTGTCATTATTTTATAAAATTGAACGTTTGCGTAAAATTGAACAGTCTTGCAGTTCTGCTCCCATATTCAAGAGGGGACCTTGTGCTTGTACACATATCTGCTAGGGGACCTGTTGACAACAGCGTTTGTTCACAACCCAAAACCGGAAGTCATCCCAAATGTCCATGAGCAGAAGCATGGATAAATGTGATGCTGCCCCACAGCGAGTGTCACACGGCAGGATCACAAATGACCCAAGAACTGCGTGGACGAGTCTTGAGATAGAGCGTTGAGTGAAAACAGCAAGTCAGGAGCCTTCAGCGTCGCAATCGTTTCCCCCACGGAGCTCATCAGCACAACTGTAGAATAAGTGGTTGAGGGATATACGTACGTAACCTGGTTTTGAAAAGAAGCAGGTGGGGGAATTCAAGATGAGTTACCTCCTGCTGGGAGGATAGGGAAGCCGTGCGCAAGTAGGCAGAGCTACAGAATGTTTGAGTTCTCCGGTGGGGTTGTATGCTTTAGTAGGTACCGATAATCAGAATAACAGAGGAAAATGTCTCCTTGAGGTCATGTGTGTTGTCTTCCACGCCCTTTTTAGAGAAATACACATGTGCAGAAAAGAGTTAGCATGGGGGACCTGAAGGCCGGGCCTCAGAGAGGGCTGCTCACCAGGCTGGCCCTGGGCTGGCATCTGGGAACGTGGATGTTGGGAGCTGCCCTGGTGCCCAGAGCCGAGAAGAGTGGCTCCCTGCGCCTGCACTGTGTGTCCAGACAGTGTGGTTCATGCTGATCACCTGCTCCCCGCTGGGGTCTGGGGTCTGGGGACTTGCCAGGCAGGGATGCTCATGGGATCAGCCCCCAGGGACATCCCTGGGCTCTGAGTGTCTGATGCCCATCTCACACAGGGAATGAGTGCTGCGTGTGCCCCTGGGGGGTCCTGGAAGTGTGCCTGGTTTCCTCTGGACCTCGCCCCACGTGCCTTTTCCCTCTGACGATTGTGCTGTGTCCTCAAGGTGACACGTACATGTGTACACGGAGCCCGTGAGGCCTGCTAGGGAGTTACCAAGCCCGGGGGTGTCTTGGGGACCTCAACACAAACCCATAACTTAGAATTGCATTCTTTGCTGTGAAAACTTTCCGCAGGTTGGGAGTCACATTATGCTTGGCATAACATGACCTGGGGCTGGAGTCGGGGATGGACACAGGGCAGGGTTTGCTCGCTTGTTGAGGAAGGCAGTCCACGCGGGTTCTGTGTTCTGGAGAAGTTCACAAAACAGATAACACCCCGAGGTGCCTTCTGAATTGCAAACTAGTTGTCAGCGATGCTAACAAGCATGTGACAGTGACTGTGCTCACACTCCCATAAACAGTCCTTCTTTTGAATTGTGTATGATTGGGTGAAAAGCACTGAAGGAAAGATTATTTAAGTTTCTCGATGATTTTTCCGGTGGAGGAAGTGACTGCTTTTCAGGTGAAACTGGATAAGCAGACGTCTGCTGTGGAAGTCTCTATCACGTCGGTAATGTTTCTTCCAGAGACGTGTTACATCAGAACTTTGAGAGTTACAAGCCAGAGGTCCAGGAGCTGATTTGTATAGCTGATCGTCTGGGATCCCTGATGCAATACGAAACACCCGGTTTCCTGCCAAACAAGAGAATACACAGAGGTATTTCAAAACTGTCTGCAAATGGAAGAATTTCTCACCAAAGAGCAAGGATTGTTAAAAACACGTTGGACTTTCCAATAAAGTCACTGGTTGGGCTTACTGAAAGTCTCCATGTGAGCAGAACAGAAATGCATAGAATCATTCATGCTGAATTCTGAAAAAGGACTGCTTCCAGCTTTGACTTCCATGCTGTAAATGTAGAATGTAGGTCTTGAGTCTTTTTTTTTAATTAAAAACATTAAAAAAAAATTTTTTTCAAGGCGGAAGGTAATTAGGTTCATTTATTTATTCACTTAATGGAGGTACAGGGGACTGAACCCAGGACCTCGTGCATGCTAAGCACATGCTCTACCCCTGAGCTGCACCCTCCCCCCCAGTCTTGAGTCATTGCTGTACACCAGACAGCTCGCCCACCAGAGCTATCTCCTTACTGTGGGGTGAGGAGGAATTTGAACCTCAGTTCCTTTGGGAGGAGGCAGAGTTGGGAGGAGACAAGTCTCAGGTTGTCTCCAGTTTCTGCTGATAGAGTTGAGTTTTAGCCGGGACATCAGGACAGTGATGTATCTCTGGTCTTGTTAAATGACCAGTACCGGAGATTCTTCTCTTTTGTATGACTCTGGAGTTGTTCACCGAGTTGTCAGTGAGAGTCATTTCCTTTAAAGCATACTTATAAACTCCGTTCTCCCCGTATTTCTCCTTTCAGCCATGGGCCTGGCGGCTTTGGAAGTCATGCAGGCTGTACAGCGCACGTGGACCAACTCAAAGGTTCGGATGAACGGGAAGACACGGCTGATGCAGTGGAGAGACATGTTTGACATTGCAGTAAAGTGGAGACGGTAACTGACTTTTAAATGACTCAGGTTCTGAATCCCATTTTATTTCTTGCAAGTAATAGGCCTTGCAAGTTATGTTTTCCTCTCTAAAGCTTGTCAAAAATTTCTGGCCTCATTATTCCTCGAAATACATTCAACTAATGTTTATGAAATAGGAATTGATTGTTACTGTGTTTCCAAGCACCTTTTTTTGTTTGTTTGTTTGTTTGTTTGTTTGTTTGTTTAAATGGAGGTACTGGGGATTGAACCCAGGACCTCAAGCATGCTAAGCACACACTCTACCGCTGAGCTCTACCCTGACCCCCAAGCACATTTTTAAGTGAGGTGTTGTAGAAAAAGCAGTCTCTCTGGAAGAGCCTAACATTACCTGTGGTACCTGTGAGTGACGTCAAGGGACCAGTCTTTCTATGGTTGGAGCGTGGGCCTGGCCAACCGGCTGCAGTTTGGAGGGGGAACCACTAGTCCTCCTTTTCATGAGAAAAACACTGCTCTGCTAGTAAACCTGTACTGACTTCTTACTTGGTCCAGTTGGAACATCTTTGTAGAATGTGCAGGCTTGTGGTTCATAGTTTTAGATGCACTGGGTTGAGCAGTTGTTCTCTCCCCACTTGTTCAAAGCTTTCCACATGCTTTATCTTTAATGCTTTGGAACATTCAGTTTTAGAAGGTCTTCGTCTCTAACAAGCTCTGTTTTACAGGATTGCTGACCCAGACCAGCCGGTGCTATGGTTAGACCAGATGCCAGCACGAAGTCTCAGCAGAGGTTTCAACAATCACATCAACTTAATCAGGTACAAGCCTTCTGTTCATCTTGGCACTTACTTTGTTCTCAGAGGCACTTATTTTGAACAGACAGTTCACGGAGACCATGAGCAACCGATTGCTCCCTTCCCAGTGACTTTAAAAAAAAATTATTTTATTTTTAGAAATTTTGGCGGGTGGTAATTAGGTTTATTTATTTATTTTTAAATGGAGGTGCTGGGGATTGAACCCAGGACCTTATGTATGCTAAGCATGTGGTCTACCACTGACCTATACTTACCTCCACCCCTGCTGGAACCTTTGTGACACAGATGAGCTCTGCACTTGCAGGGACCTGCCTGCGTTCCTTTGAGCTCATCCGGTTGCAGAAAGAAATTCAGTATATGCCGTGCCCCTTTCCCAGGCTCTTCCCTTTGATGCGAGCTCAGCTGAAGGGTAGAGTGACGGATTTTTGCCTAGCTGTCAGTCTATAAAGGGCCCTAAAACATCCTAGAAAGCAATTAGATGGAGAACATTGCATTCATCCTGATAATACTGCGTGGCTCCAAGAATTCTTGTGGTGGGAAACAGCTTCCCCATCCCTCCCTGCAACACGCAAAGGGTTTGAATCAATAACACTGTCTGGGCGCTAAGCTCCCTTCCCAGGAGGTTGAGCCAAGTTTGCTGGAGAGCTTTTGTTTTGCCCAGAGGTTCTGGCAAGTTAGGGACATGGGTGAGGTGCTCAGCTCATTCCCCCTCCCTTCTGAATAAATGATGAGCAGATATTAACAAGTATCAGCTCCAACGGGACCCACTGAATTTAATTTTAGATAAAGTTTACAAATATGGTAGTTGTGTCACATTGAAAATGCTTCCAATTCCAGAAACGGGCATCAAGAATATACTAAACTATACAACTTCGACATTTAAGTTTAATGGAAATGTTATTAAGGCATTTATTTTTTTATTTTTTAATATTTTATTTATTTTTGTTAGTGGAGGTGCTGGGGATTGAGTCCAGGACCTCATGCATGCTAAGCATACGCTCTACCACTGAGTTATACCCCCCCTGCCTCAAGACATTTATTTTTTCAATTTCTAGAAAATACATTTCTCTCCCCCTTGTGACTTGTACATTTCTGTTTTTTACGGATTCATGTGTGACATGTACAGATAGACTCAGCCAGCTTTAATCAAAGGCCACTGTCTGTGTGCTGGGCCACACAGTGGGGATGTACGGCCCCTGGCTTAGAAACTCAGAGCCTAGTGAGGAAGGGGGACCAGTGAACCACCACGTTGTGTGTTAGGAGTACTGGTGGTCATGTGTACACGATGCTGGGGTGCCCAGTCCAGCCTTCAGGTGATGCTGGAGCCGTCTGGAAAGATGGAAAACAGAGATGGGTGAGGCGTGGACCCACCCGTGAGTCAGGCATGGTCAGGGAGGTATGACTGGTGATTACTGTGTGATTCAGGGACTATTAGGAATCAAGACTAGAAAGACAGGCAGAGGCCAAAACATAAATAACTTCCCCCCCAAAAAATGTAACTAACTTATATCCATGCTAAGGCATTTTTGGTCCTGAAATGATGGAGAGCCATTCAGAGACCATCAGCAGAGAGGTGACCTGAGCATATCTGCACATCTGGATGATCACTTTGGCCGCAGGTGGCAGAGTGGATGGGAGGGGGCAGCGGCTTCCCTTGGAGGTGTAGGAAGTGGTCAGGATCAGGTGTGCCCAGACAAATGTCTGGAAAGCTTTGCGGGAATGAGTTGGAGGGGAAGAGGGGATGCAGAGAAGGCAGGATTGGAGCACTGAATGTGGGCTGGAAGTAGGGTGAGCCTGTTGCTGCTGGAGAGCATCCCATTGCCGCGCGGCCCCGTGGTTGCCCCAGTGGGCACGGGACAGAAAGCAGGTGAACACCTCTGGTAGCTGGAGCTGCGGGTGTGCGGGGTGGGGGTGTGAGTCACCGAACGTGCCTGCCGGGGAGCCAGGGAAGGATGTCTGGGAGCAGTTGGACAGTGTGTCTTGTGGGACACAGGTCCATCAGCTGTCTGTGTGCATCAGCGTGTGGGCTGTGTGTGAGGTTCTGGGAGAGTTATAAAAGTGGGGCTGGGGATAGAAGTGTGAGGGAGATACTATTTAGAGAGGTGGAGGAGATGCAGGCAGCTAGTCAACTAGACAGCAAGGAGGATTAGCAGGTGACTGCTGGGGGCACGGAGGTGGGCAGGGCATGTTGCCGAAGCCGGGCGGGAATCCATGCAGGAAATGGACATACAAGTCTGACCCCTATTTGAGTACCTGAAGGCTTTTCTTCCTGTCTTGGCCTCCCCAGGACTGAGTTGGGTGCCTTTCCCACCAGAATAAGCTCCAAGCACTGGTGGTTTGTCTGGCTAAGACAGGCCTTTGCCTCCCCCGTGCTTCGACTGCAAACAAACTGATTCCCCAGATTTCTTTGCCACATTATTCTCCCAGCTCCCTTATCATCCTTTGGAATTAATTTTGAAATTAAGAGGTTGCAAGGGACATATGCCTTTGTAAAAACATTCTTAACTTTTCTTCTCGCAGGGGTCAGGTGATTAACATGAGATACCTGGAATATTTTGAGAAAATTCTTCATTTTATTAAAGACAGAATCCTGGTGTATCATGGGTAATCTTTCACTTTTCTTTTTCATAATAATGGATAGATTTGATGTATTTTTACATCCATTATATGTATGAAACTTAAAAGCCGAGCCTAGTGTAGGACTGAACAAAGTGTATCAAATTTTCACATAGTGTTTGGAATCAGAAAGCCTTTCATAAGCATTTGTCAACCTTCTTTTTAATAGATTCACAAAATCCCTGGACCTCAACCAAATAGTTTTTATCTGAAACACAGTACTGTGGCTTTTCTAACCTCTTTCTCCTGAAAAGCAGGATGTTTCTTTGAATTTCTTAATTAAAGATTCAGTGGGGGATTTCAACCTTAATACTCATTCTCCATCACCTGAGAGGCAATACTGTCTATAGATGAAACAGTGAACGGAACGCTGGGGAAGAAAGAATCCTGGATGGTCGCCACCCCTAAGTAAACATAATTGGAGTAAAAACCTAGTACGATGTTCTATTTGAGCAACTTTAGTAAGAAAGACACTTACTTCTAATTTCACAGTTGGGATAGGAGAATCCGGGTCTTCTAGCCAAGCCCAGACCCGCGTACGTACACACGGACACTGGCTGTCAGTCCATCCTGCTTTCCCCTCCTTCACCTTCTGGACAGGCTGCTACCTCTCTCCTTAATTCTCATCTGTAGCCCACAACTCACTGGATTAAACCGTCCCATTACTCAGAGACTTCGGTTGTGGTCCACCATGTTGCATATTGGGCCATTCATAGTTAAGGTTGACTTAGTTCAATTAGCAGTAGTAGCGTAATTAACTGCTACATTTCTGTATTGATTTTAGTTGCTGTCTCTCTCACTCTCTCTCTTTTTAAGAGCTAATAATCCTAAAGGATTGTTGGAAGTCAGAGAAGCTCTGGAAAAGGTGCACAAAGTAGAAGACCTCCTTCCAATTATGAAGGTAAATTTGTCATCAGCATCGCGGTAGGTGTTTTTGGGGGAGGGGGGAATTGATAGCACTTTTTAAAAACTCATCGTTATTAAATGCATGTTTGTCAATGTCATGAGTATCTTAAGTTTTATGAATGGTGCTACTTGAAAGCACTAATAAAAACACTTCAAATAATAACGAAAATGAAATAAAACATTGGCATCAGACTCAGACCTAAAAGCCAGTCTGCGAGGAAGCAGTCGATACAGGAAACCGAAGAAAACTTGAAGATGCATAGAACTGAATTCTGCTTCTGGCCCCAGTGGAGTAACTGGTATTCCACTGCCCTTTTACACCAGAGGAGTAATAAAACTGGATGAAATACAAGGCAGCTGTTTTTGGGTATTGGACAATTACAGGACTGATTTCTGGCAGAGGGGAAACGTGAGGTGAGCCCCCTTTCACCCCAGCTTTCTGCCCGGGAGTAGTTAGCAGACGGCTGTGCAGGTATGTGGCGCCCAAGCCGCTCAGGAGACAAGCAGTGGGCACTGGGTTCTGCTGAGGTGGCTGGAGCTTGCCGGACAGCGCAGAGGGCAGGGAGCTGTGCGCCTGGGACGGGCCCCAAGCTCGGGGGGAGCTCCTCTCATCCTCGGCTGAGCGCTGGGTGGTGCCCCTGCAGTGAGACTCTGGGAGGCTCTCAGGGAGTGGCTGCTGTGGGGATGAGAGCTGAGCAGGGGCATCGCAGACTTCACAGGACCGAGGGATGCTGGAGTTCTTGGCCTCATCACCGTGCACCCAGACACGTCTTGATCAAATTTGGGGACTTCAAGATTAAAAGTGAATTCCCTAAAGAAGTTAAACGTAGAATTGCCGTATGATCCAGCAATCCTCTTTCTAGGTATATACAACCAAGAAGACCGAAAGCAAGGACTCAGACAGATCTTTGTACCCCCATGTTCATAGCATCATGACTCACAATAGCCAAGAGGTGGAAGCAATCCAGTGTCTGTGGTTGGATGAACGAATAGATGAAATATGATCTGAAATAATACAATGCAGTATTATTTGGCCTTTAGAAAGAAAGGAAATTCTGGCACACGCGACAACAGGGGTGAACCTTGAGGATGTTATGCTGAGTGAAATCAGCCACTCACTAAAGGACAAGTACTGTAGGATTCCACTCACATAAAGTTCCTCGAGAAGTCAAATTTTTTTTTTTAGAAAAATTTTTAAAGAATTCTTTTGGCAGAGGGCAGTAATTAGATTTATTTATTTACGTTAGAGGAGGTACTAGGGATCGAACCCAGGACCTTGTGCACACTAAGCATTTGCTCTACCACTTGAGCTATACCCTCCCGTGAGAATCAAAGAGACAGAAACTAGGATGGTGGTTGCCAGAGGCTGGTGGGGGAGGGGAGACTGGGGAGCTAAGCGTTTAATGGGGACAGAGTTTCTTCTGGGGACGATGAACAGGGTTCTGTGGATGGATGGGGGTGATGGTTGCACAACAATGTGAATGTACTTCATGCCCCTAAACTACATTTACACATGGTTAAAACGTCAGGTTTTATGTTACGTATATTTTAACACATACACACAAATAAAGAGAACATCTTAGAGCTTCCAGAAAAGGAAAAAAAAACAACTTTAAATACTAAGGGAAGATACCCCACTGATGCCTCCCTTCCCTGCAGCAAAGGTGGATCCTGGAACCCAAGGAAGGGAAATTTGTTTGACCAGCTATCCCAGTGTTCAGCTGTGAGGGTGAAACTCCTGTTTCAAACATGAGGTTATTCAGTTCGGTCAAGCCTAGATCCTCTTTGTCAAAATCGTTCAAGGACCTGTGTGCTCTTACACAGTGAACCCAGGCAGCGGGAAGGGTGTAGCTCAGTGGGGGAGTGCAGGCTTAGCATGCACGCGGTCCTGGGCTCGGTCCCCAGTCCCTCCAGTGAAATAAATAAATAAACCTAATTACACTCTCCCCCCCCCCGCAAATAAAATGAACCCAAGAAAGAAGAAAACGTGAAGTGTAAGAAATACTAGTGAACAAACACATCAGTGAAATGAATTGTCAATGCTTGTGGTTAAAAAAAGAAGTCTGACATTCAAGTATCAGATGATGTCACCGTGAGAGGTTGGGGAAAGTAGAGAAAGGAAGTAAAAATGTGCCACGGTACTTGTTTTTTCAGTGAAAGAGCATAATCAAGATACAAGCTTAAATAGCCATATCAGAAAAATAAAGGTAAACACTGAAGGAACAGAGACAGGGATGTGTGATCTTCTAAACCCCTAGGAGGCAGGTAAACGTAGGAAAGAAAACAAAGTCGGTTCAACCAAAAGTTTGCAGAAAGAGCAGGTGCGGGGGGAGAAGGTGAGGAGGAGACGTGTGTGACAGCATTAGCCCCTCCCA